TTAATAATGAGAAAAATTATTGAATTGTGACTTAATCTCGTTATATTTGTGAATTGTAGGGAACATAGATGAACATGGTGAAATTCAGAAGAAAAGAGCCCAAAAAAGACTAAAATTGAGCAAAGTGATAGTTCGGGGACCAAGTTGCAAATAATCCGTAGATGAGACGGGAAATGGAATGAAGATTCAAGAGTGTTAGAGGTCAATCGGATGAGGAAAGGAGTCAAGAGGTGAAATATGGTCGAAATATTATCAAGTATCAACTTTCAGGCGAAAAAGTTATGCTCGTGATTTTTAGTCTCTTGAGATCCATTTTTGGAATAGTAAACATCAGAATTTGAGTAAGCCTATTTCAATCAAAATGTAGATCTTTGAGTTTTCTTCCCAATGCACTTTGAATCACTTCAATCAGAGATCGAAAGAGAAAATTATGACCAAAATACTAAAAACTGTCCGACAGAAAAACATCTATAACCATGCGACCGCATGGTTATAATTCCTTGCGGTCGCACAACGCAGTACAGGGAAAAATCTAGGCTGAAACTTTTGAACCATGCGGTAGCATGGCTTTATACCATGTGGTCGCATGGTATAAAAATGTGACGAAATCTCAGGTTTCCTTATTCGACTCAAACACGATTTAGTAAGGTTTTGGGCGACTTCCTTGACCTAATTTCGCCTCCAATAAATACCAGACGACCCTAAACATAAAGGGGGGGGGGGATATACACAATTTTGAAGGATTTGGAGAGGAAGAACAAGGCAATCAACTTCAAAATTCAAGATTTCACTTCAAGAATCAATTGGGTGATGTTCTTCCTTGGTTTTAATTATTGTTTTTCTTTATTTTCCATTATGTTAGACTAGATTTTTATTATGCTAGGAGATCGATGCACTATGTAGTTGGATATTTAATTTTCTAGTTTTGTAATTTGACATTAAAACATATTTCTTTTGTTTTGAATGATTTATATGCATTTATTGTTTCCGCAATTAAGGGCTCGTAATTGTGTAAGTTTGGTGATTTATTCTTGCATTCGAGAGAATTGGAATAGATTCGATATAATATAAATCATCGTAGGGTTCGATAGGGGATAGAAATATACCGCTATGCCCTACATGAATCTTTAAATGTTCATAAAACTACATGTATTTTTACATATGCACTTGTCATAAAAATATAGGTCGGTGGTATGTAGAAATAGGTTTGATATATCTCGAGAGAGAGTATTGGATAAATTTAGGAATATTGATTCGTCAACAATTGAATTATGTTGTTATATTGTGAAACCAGAGTTTAAAGTGATAATTGTATGGAAAATCGTGATCCTAGTGTGTTTAATTTCTATTGATTACAACAAACGTGCGTTCTCAACAATTGATTTCATTCTAGAGTTTTAAATTATTGTTTTGCATATTAATTTCAATTTAATCATAAAAAAATTGCATAATTGGGATTTAATTAGGTCTACTTTCACTTTGGTAATTTAGTTTCGGTTAATGCTACGGTAGGTAAAATTTGAACTAATCAATCTCTGTGGGACGATATTTGGACTCATTTAATCCACTTTATTACTTGTTAACGAACCGTACACTTGCGGTGATTTTAAATCGAAAGAAAATAATTTCGCGAACAACATCCATCCTAAGTTGAGGCCATTGCCACAGGACCTTTTGTGATCGAGATTGTAGGATAGCTATGAAATATGACAAGTCACTCTTGAGCCAAAGCCTTTGTTTGGTAACTATTCTTTTCGGACTTTTTTTTCTCATATTCATTTTCAACCACACGTTCTCACAATGAAATTTTTTCACATAAATCCAAAACTTTTTTTTTCTATTTTTTAACTACACATTCTCCAAAAGATTACTATTTAAAAGACTACTCTTCTCAAAAAATGATTGTCAAACAGAGCCAATGCTTTCAACATCCATACTCTCAAGCATAATCAATGGCATGATTTGCCTTGCAGTTGCAGATATCAATCTTCAAGGCTAAATACCACCACCACTCTTATTAGTGAAAACATTAATACATTTCGATGCACCAATAATGCAATCACTAATATGTTGGCCCCTAATGAATTCAAATTGCTTTTGAGAGATGATGAATACCGAGAATTGAGGCGAATAAGTTAGCAAGAGCAACGAGTCATGGTCATACGTTATTCACATATTCTACGTAGTTGATTCACACAACACATCCGAATAGATTTCATTTATGTCGACTCAATCATTGGATATTTGTTGCCTCAATATTATTCTATCAATTTACTATAACTGGTTTGTCCGAACTACGCATGCCCTTATCATTCAAGGCACGATAGCAAGCCTAGATTGGTTTGGTTTGGGCCAATTTTAACCCCAACGCAAAATTAAAACTAGATTAGTTAGTTTGTGCGAACTTTTACCCAAGCTGAACCCACTCTAACTTTTAAACCAAACTGACCCAAATCATATTAGTTTGGTTTGATTTGATTTCGTTTGATTAGTCGGTTTGGACTTATATATATATATATATATATTTTTAAATGTCTTGGGCTTTAGGCCTGCTAAAATCATAAACACACCAAAGACAAAAGTTCATGTGTACTTGAAAAGTGGATGAATTCCAGCACAATGCAACCCATTGGCAAATTCAGATTTCAACAACCAAGCACTCAGTATTGATGCATCATCAAGCCGCAAAACCAACTTAAAAACTTGAGTGACTAAACATTACACGGTAACAAGAAGAAAAGTATTTTCCATGCAATTTACAACTCCTCCTGGTTCTTTTCTTCGAGAAGTACACAATATGGGTACACGTGCACCATAACAGTTAACTTTTACAGTGTTTGATTGCTAATTTTTTTTATGGAAAATATTTTTCAATTTTTAAAAAAAATATGCGTAATTTTCCTTGTTTTTTAAAAAAAACATTTTCCTTGGGTGGAAGTGGTTTTTATTTTCCACAAAAGATGAAAAATATTTTTTTTCTAAGTGATATTTTCCTTACCAATCAAACACACTCTTAAATTAAATCCTAGGGAAAAAAGGATCAAATAAAGAAAATGAAGGATCACCTTCAACATGGAATGCCGACATAGTTTCACTAATTATAAACAATGAAATTGCAAACAACCATGAGGAATACGGATAGAATTTATGATATTAGAGTTTATCTTTTGATTATTTCAAAAAATAAAAATAAAAAAGGAAAACACATCTAAGTGGATTGGGCTGGTTCTGTTAACTAATGGTTTGTTAAATCATGGTCAAATCGACCTATTGTGATTTTCTTAAAAATAAAATCAAACTAAATCAATCTAAATCGACCCAAGTCAATTATGTTTGATTAATTTGACCAATTGTTTTATTTTTTTGCCCAGGCCTCAAGGGCACTGCGGTGAGCCGCAAGTCTACGGGCTCACGAGAATGATACATGGCGATCCTCGCCACAAGAGATGCATTAGAGGACGATGGAATATGGTACCACTAGTTTGGCATCAAAATCAAATGTCTAACAGGGCCATTGCATGAGAAAACACAGTTTCCTCCCCCCATAAAGAAAATTTGGCCAGTAGCTCCACTTAGTTAAATATATCAGTGAGTCGTCCTCTTCCAATCAAAGGTCCACATGTCAAGCTGTCATCTCTTTGTTTAAAGTTTGTAATTAATACACTTTATACATGTCTTTTCTGTCTACAAATTATTTCTTATTTTTATTTCCCAAGACCAAAAAATGACTTTTCATAAAGCATAACGTTACATTTCTGTTTATTGTCTTGTGAAAATGAATTGAATCGGGTTGGATCGTCCGTTGTATTTTAACTTTTAAGGTGGCTCGTCTTGCTCAACCTAAAACATGAAACAATTTCATTGGTGTAGTACATCGTTTTCCTTGTGAAAATCTTATCTTGGATTTTGCATTAACTTTCAAAGATCAATTGTGGTTTTATTAACTTGTGGATTTTGAATAAATAATTAATCATTGTGTTCTTGAAGTGGATTGGCCATTGCCTTTTAGGTAATGCCCACTAATTTATTTCTTTTCATGGCCGGATTGGCCATTGCCTTTTAGGTAATGCCCACTAATTTATTTCTTTTCATGGCCGGAAGAATAATATATTGAATCAATAAAGTAAAAACGTTTAATGCTGTCATGTAAGTCACAAGACAACAGTCTTAAATGAAAAAGTTCACAACACGAGAGCAAAGTGTGCATAGCAGAGATACATCAATGCAAATTATGAAAAACAAAAGGACGCAATCTTAGAAAATCTCATGTTCATAGAGAAAATTACATTTAGGTCTCAAAGCTATTGAAAATGTATAAAGTTGGTCCTCATCCATTTATTTTTCAACACTCATGTGTTATAGAAATTTGTTATCTTTATCTTTTATTTGTACTCAAAAATTTTATCAGAAAGAAAATTTTATCACTACCTTTCTTGTCTATATATTTTTCGAGTTTCTTTTACAGTTGTATTTTTTTTTTTTTTTTTATCAAAAATTGAATCCATGTTTAGCATAGATAATTTAAAACATTTTTTTTTATTGAACTAATTTTCAAGCACACATTCTCTCATTAAATAATTTACAAATACAAAAATATCATCTTCACAAAATCTATTTCAAATAAAAGCCATGAGTTTTTAATTAAACAAAAGGATAATCATCATTTATTGACATAAACGGAGTAATGTAATTCATCAATGATAATAATAAACAACCACTGTGCAATAGTGGTGTGCACAGTGGTGAAAACTTGTCTATGTGGAAGCTAACTAATTAAACGATGTGACGTGATGATAGGGATCCCAATTATCACTACTACGTAGTGACCACATAGTATCAGTTGACCTAAATATTACAAAAATGAAAGGTTGGGGACCGATGCTTCCAAAATATTAAATTTGGATCAGCCTATTACATTTTCAATAGTTTGAGGACTCCCATCTATAATTTTATAAATATTGTATTTCCCCAAAGTATAATTTCACATCATTCAAGCCCACCCTCGTCCCCCGCCATTCCTTCCCCATTTCCCCAAGCTTTTCCAACACTCGAACACCATAAAAATTCTTAAAAATTAGCGTATTTTATTCATGGATTCTTCCAAGAAACCCTAGTAATAAATCCAGATTAAACGACAAAACCAGGATCAAGGGTTCTAGCTCAAAACCCAGATTAAGAATGGCTGCATTTTCAGTGTCCAGGTACTTCATGGCTTTTTTTCTACTCAATTTTTTCTTGAAAGTTCAAGCTGAAGACCCACAAAATATATCATTTTCTTTTAAGAATTTTGGTATAGATTCAAATTTTACGTCGCAGATTGCTCTATATGGTGGTGCCATGGTTGTAAAAGAAAGTATTTCAATTCAAATCACTAGTTCAATGGTTTCTGGTGTTGTGTACAAGAAGCCCATTGAGGTTGTTGAAGGACAAACAAGAAAAACGTTGTCTTTTTCCACGTATTTTGTGTTCTCAATCTCTAGAGGAAATGGGAAGGGTTTCGCCTTTATTATGATTCCCAATATTGGGTTACCATTGAATGTTTTTAAAGGTGGCTTTATTGGGTTGTTCAAAACAAGAAAATATAGGTTTCTTGGTGTTGAATTTGATACTTTAAGAAACCACCTTGGGATTGATATTAGTCTTGTGTCTGTTAAAGTGGGCAATGTTTCATCAATCAATTTGGTGCTAAATAGCGGTGAAAGATTGCAATGTTGGATTGATTACGAAGCAAGTTCTAAAAGATTAGAGGTGAGGTTGAGTAAATTAGGCGACATTAGGCCGGTGGATCCATTGCTTTCGTATGGTATAAACTTGTCACGAATGTGGAAAGAGGAGAAGTTTCTAGTTGGGATGAGTTCATTGGGTGCAAATTCGTCGCAGAAGTGCAATGTGTATTCGTGGAGTTTTAGGACAAGAAGTTTTCCACAATGGATGCATTCTGAACCGTTAAATCCTGAGGCATTTAGGGAGAAACAAGAAGTGGTGAATGTTCATAAGAGATCAAGTGATTGTGGTTTTAAAATCCTAGCTGCATTGATATGTGGTACTGGATGTGGAGCATTAGGGGCCTTCATCGTGTTCTTTTCCTGGAATATCTTTGGAAATAGACGACCCGTGGTTCCACAGGAATTTGCTATGCAACCTAAGGAGTTGGAGTGCACAAGGTCGAATGTTGCAGCAGATACCACCATCAAAGATTGTCACAAGTAGGTTTTGGGTTAAAATTTTGGGGGTGTTTTCCTTCTGTAAATCTATCTAATATTGTACTTGTGTCTTTTGATTTTAGTGTGCTTATGTAATTTAAGAGCAATGCTACACAGACGGTGAAAAACAGGGTAAAAAACAGGCTGCACATGTGTCATGCATGATTTAAAAAAAAAAAAACTGCCAACAAGCGGCTAACAATTCAGTCTGTTTTTCCCCCTATTTTTCTCCTTGTCTGTTTAACATTCTTCGTAATTTAATGATCATTCATCCAATGTAGTTTTGCTACATTAGAATTCAGCTTCTACCGGAGTAATAATCTTTTTACTTTCCTTTTCTTTTCTAAGATTATCTTATGCAGTAGTTCGCTTTTAATCATTCTATCTTGCTCTGTTCAAAAATTGTTCTTGGATCATAAGCAATCACTTAATCGTGTTCACTTGCACCTGTTTGTACTTGTACTATTTGGACGATGATGAAATTAATTGTAGAATCCACATCACTTAATATGAAAACGAGAATCTTCAGATATTCTCTTTCAACAATGTTGACCTTTTAAAGTGATAATCGCCAATATTCAGTGGATTAATATAATTTCGGGCTTGCATTAATCTATTGATCTTTTGTCATGCTGCAAGAGGGATGTGTTGTATTTAATATATCTTATCATAGTTAGGGTATTTCAACATAAATAAACACTTTTTGATTGGTTTTGGGGTAAATATTGTCTAAAAAATTAAAAGTATGTTCTCTTTGCCTTTTTCTGTTTTCGATTTTTCAAAATAGTGAAAATGCATTCTCTTTCCCTTTTCGAAAACAAAAAAGTAAAATAAAATTGTGAAGAAAACTCAAAACAACAAAAACACGGGAAACAGTCTTGTTTTCAACCTCTCCTCAACCCCCACCACATGGAGTCACAAATCACCAACTTTCGACTGTCAGAACTGGCGGATCCAACCAGCATCAGTCTCGCCTCATTCCCCTCTACAATCTCCAACCAACCACTAGCCACAAATCAACAAGAAGTAGTAGAAAATCCAGCCCAAAAAACAAATGTCCCACACCCCTTTTTTGCCGAAATCTCCATCTTCGGCGACACTCAAGGTCGTGCACCGCCACCGGTCGATTGCCTACCACAAACTGATCCCAACCATGGCCCCAATTTACCACAAACAACAATTCAACCATCTGAATTAAACTCAGAAACAAACCCGTCGCGAAGTCAGTCCAACAGAATTCGAATGTTGTAGATTTTGGCGCCATTCGGTTGACCCATGGTTGTGGACCATATGTGTTGAATTCCTCTTCACTTGGCGCACCTTGTCTAACCATGGGTCAACTCCAATTTTGCCTAGAACCTTGTCCAGCCATGGGTCAAAATTTTGCGCAAGTGTGGCTCCACCACTGGGGGGGAGGTGAGGGGGTTCGAGCGATGCTAGGATCTCTTAGTCTAGGTGGTGGGTGGGGGTGACGGTGTTGGAGGGGGCGAAAATCGCCTTAGCTGGAGAAGAGAAAATGAATTAAATAAAAAAAAAATTGTTTTCAATTTTCATGTTTTAAGAAATATTTTTTCAAAATGACGAAAAGAATACGTTTTCAACAATTTCAAAACAGACATTCAAGACACAAAACCCAAAATGAAATTCAAAACTCAAACACGAAGAGAACAGTCCCTTATATTTCAGCAAATATTGAAACTTGACCAGTGTTGATCTCTTCTAATAATGAAAAGCTTTATTCTTCTCAACCTCATATATCTACCTTGGCTTTTGATCGAGTCATCAAGTAAATACTTATTTTACAAAAGTAAAAATATTTTATGGGAATCGAGATCCTACTTGAGAGAAAAAAAGACACAATATTAAACATTATTACATACTTGTTTTAATAGATTAATTATTGAACATTCATTGAATTATATCAAGTGCTACTACTTAATAAATGAACTTAAAATTACATCTAAACTATGCACCATGTTACTTATTCATCACTCAAGTTGATGCTATTTGTTAAACCAAACGAATCATCCATTTGCCATTTGTCAAACAGTTTTCCTACATGAACAGTATTAAACATTCACCCAAATCCACGCAAACAAAGTGTGTTAGTAACAAGTGATTTAGATTGCGATTTTCAAAATCTTATCGTTGGAATTCACATATTCTGACAATGAGGTTGGCAATAAAACATTGAAAATCACAGCCTAAATTGAGTTTTACAAATAAGTTTTGCTTACATATATTTGGATGGATGACTAATATGGTCCTGAATTTTTAACTAGCATTCGGATGGAATAAAATTACCAGTTAAAGGTGCGAGTGCCTCCTTTTCTTTTGAGATTAAGTTGGGCCCTTGTATCCCCAAATGGATCACATAGAAAATTGTTTGACACGTGAGAAGATCAGTTAGGTTCAATAAACGGAGTCGATTTGAGTGATGGATTTGGTAATAGTAATACAGTGCCTAGTTCACCAATAATTGAGATATAATTTTAAATTCAGTTATTAGGTAGTAGCACTTGGTATAACAATTCAAATAATTAACCCGTTTTAATTCTATTTGTGTCTATGCTTCTAACCTAAGTGATTATCAGCTCAACCATGACTGGACAAGCTTATCCAACCCAACATCTATCGGGTTAATAACTCGAGCCCAATTTAAGGCCCAAACAAAATTCCTGTAAATCAACTAGCAAGAGCGAGGAATGTATACTCGGAATCTCGGATAAACGCCGAGTAAAATCCATCACCATGGCTATACTTCATCTCCTCCTTCCCTCCATTCCTCAGAAAAGGTTACTAATTTTAGCTTTAAATTCACTAACCCAATTCAAAATTTCCACAATTGTATATAATCCCATACCCAAATCACCAATCGCCGTAAGTTAAGATCCAGCAAATCCTCCAGCAATGACGCCACCACCACTGAAAACCCACCAAAAACAACCAATAGAGGCCGTAAAAAATCAACTAAAACTATAGATTCACCTCCGAAAAAAGTATCGAGACGCCATCGTAAAGATACGGAACCATCAAATGATGAGGAGGTTATTGATTATGACGATGAAATGGATATTCCTTACGAAGACCCCCCTTTAGTGTGTTGTTTTGGGGCAGCCCAGAAGGAGTTTGTGCCTACGGTGAGAGTGGCACCTGAGCAATTGCATCCTGATATATACTCCCAGTGGAAAATGCTGCAATGGAATCCGCCTGACTTTGTATGGGCACCTGGAGGGCCGCCTTCGAATGTGGCCACTTCCCACGTGAGCCTCGGTGGGAGGGTCGCGTTTATGGGGAAAGTTGGGAGTGATGAGTTCGGTGAGGAAATGGTGGTGATGATGAATAAGGAGAAGGCGTAGACTGATGAGAAAATTGGTGACTTGTATGCAGATAAATTTACCAATTAGCATAATCAATTAATTGATATAAATATAATTCAATAATAATATTAAAATAAGAAAAGGGATAGAAAGAAAGCAAGCCTTGGAGTGACATCGGCGACGTCGTTCTAAAGTCGTGTTGCTTTCCCTTCGTGCGGATTTTTTCGACACTACACAACTTCAAGAGAAAACTCATGTGACTCTCCTTCTATGGACACGGCCATAAAAAGATAAGTAAACGAGCCTTTATCGAAATGTCAAAAGTATAATATAAAATTGTAGAAATGATAATGTTAAAAGTAGTTTTCTCAAATTATAGAAATGCCTCCCTTATATAGTGTAAAACTTCAACCCCCATACTAATGAGAAAACATATAAGTTATCATGCCTCTTGGGGCATAGTCCAGTGTGCAAATGATAGGAGTGATGTTATCTCACGTATTGCTGGCAGTCGCAGTGTGGGGGGTTCGATTCCTGAGACATGGAATTGAACTCCTTGTAGGCGCAGTATACATGCAGCTCTTGTTCCCTGACCTGTTGGGTCACATCCCGCGATTTCCCTCCCTCACAAATTAATGAGTTTTAATTTTGATATGTTGAAACTTATTTCAAGTTATAATAACCACCACATTTATACCACAAGTTATAATATATATGTTATATTACAATATTATTAATTTAATTTTGTATTAAATTGAAATTAAAATAGAAACAACAAATTATTAATTTGAAAATTTAAAATTTAAAATATTTATTTTTCAACACAGACAAGGGCGGTGAAGTTCGATGATAATGCGAGGACCGGGTGTACTTACATGAAAATTAAGTTCGAGGATGGTAAAATGAGGGTGGAGAAGGTTAAAGATTCGACAGAGAACTCGTTGCTCAGCTCCGAGTTGAATCTTTCCGTGCTCAAAGAGGTATTCGATCATCTCTTCTAGCGTTTGAAAAGGATTCTAATAATTCTTGAGCTCTGGCTTTAGAATCTTGCAAATTAGTTAATCAAAATTTATAGTCGAACTAAGAAATGAACTGAATTTGCTAAATAAGTTATGTTGTGTACTAGGCCTATTTTGCATTGTTTGATTTGATTCACTTCTATGCAGCACATTCATTTTCTTTATTTCGCTGGTTCATAATTCAATTTGTATACTCAATTTGGCTTTATGTTGATGGCGTCGTCAAGTATTCTGTCTACTTGTTCTGTCAAATGATTTGAACATTTATAGAGCCTCAAGGTTCTAATGGCATTGTTTGAAAAAGGTTTATAGGCCGCAGGTTCGGAACTATTGCTCATTTACCCTGTGGTGTGATGAGGTTGAACGATTGATGAGTTTGTTTCACTCATGATTTTTGCACAGTTTTAGCTTGATTAAATGCTTGATCTTGTGAGTATAGAACATTTTTTATGTGTTTGTTAGTGTTGTTTTGAAGATTAGGAGAAACGATGTAAAAAGAGGTATTAAAGTGGACGAAGAGGCAAAAAACACTGAATTGGGGCAGAAAGATGGCGCTTAGGCGCTGCATTCATAGCGCCTAGGCGCTACGAAACTGAAAAAAAAGATGAAATTTGGAACCGAGAGGCAGCGTCTAGACGTCGCAACCATAGCGCCCAGGCGCTATGTCGTAGTGCCTGGGCGCCGCAATTGAATATCTAGGGCGCATTTTTTTTGGGTCGTTTTTAAATCCATAAAAACTCCACTTCTACATAAAACAGAGTGGCACCTATAAATACATCTTTCTCATACTTTTGAAGGGTTCTTGACATATTGGAGAGAAAACAACAAGAAGGGAGATTCAAAAGAGAAATTCAAGAAGATTAATACTAAGCAATTGAAGATTAGAAACATTCATTGGAAGAGGAAGGAGATCTTGGTGCAAGAATTCTACTTTTTCTTCTACATCTTTATTACAAATTCGGTGATGTATTCTAAGACAATTTCCTACTTTTCTT